TGGGGGGAATTTTTCAGCCAGGTTACATTTACATTTTTTGTTTAACAACAGGCTTGTTGTCTATCAGACAGTGTTGACGGGTGCACCATTGCCCCCCACTAACTTGCCAAGGCGTAGGACTGGTTTAGAAATATCAGACTTTATTTGGGTGGTCCCCTAAAGATGATCTACAGATACTTATATTATTTACAAACATACTGGTGATTCTGGTGAACATTTTAGTTAGGGTTAGGTTTAGGAGTAAGTGTGGGTTTTGCCTTGAGGTCAGGGTTAGGGACAGATTTAATAGAATATTTTACATGCAACTTCAAGAGCTAATAAGGCTCGCCCCTTATTAGCTCTTACATACATGTTCACTGTCCTGCACCCCACTTAAAATATTGTTAACAACATGGTTCTCACGACATTAAAAAGTGAGTCTGTAGGCTATAATCACACACAAAATAAATACGCAGGTGCACAGTGTTGCTGATTGAGATGTAAGCATTAGAACAGCTCTCTTTGTGTGAGTGCTACTGGGACTGGCATTTAGATCCCATAACTGGAATCGTATCATACAACAAGCTGACATACAGTAGTCCAGCAGTGGCTTCAACTGAAGCACAGCTCTTCATGCAGTTGGAACACTGGACACGAGGCTAAATGATATGTGATGGAGAGAGGAGTGAAGGAGGCCATATGATGAGACAGGAGACAGATAGAGACAAACCGACAGCATCTAGACAAAATCCCTTTAACTGACAGTTTCATAGTGAAGACACTTAAAGCTGAAAACTGGACTGGCCTGACAGACTGACACAAGACAGAGACAAATAGCTCCAACTGTATCCATCATTATAAGACAGACATCCCCAGTGGACACTGTGTCATCTTTGTGAAAGAGATATTGCCTGTATCGTGCTCATCATTCTTAATAGTCCAGCTGTGTTGGAGGTTGATCTGTCTTATATAAAATATGAAGGATGTCTCTCCTGGTTCAGATAGAGATCTATCAGCCTGTTGGTTGTGATAAGCACAGGATAATAAAGATGATTGTGGCGAGGTTATGTGTTGCCTTTTTAAATAAAGAAATTAATTAAAAATGTGCAACCATTTTAGGTCAACAAAAAAAGTCTGTGCAGTAGGCATTAATGTAAAGGTGTTTATGTATATAGGTGCATATGTCCTGATTGTATTACTGTCCGTCTACATACATGTAAACTCGCAATCTTTTGTTGAAGTCGCCGTTTTGAATGATGCCATTTAATGTCATAAATTGTGTTGATTTGTGTGATGAGTTTGGTTCATTTATGCATATTTGAATATCTTTCTTTGATTGCTTTCAAATGGTAAGCGCAAAAAGGTTGACATAGGTAAATTATCATTCTTTGTAAGAAATACAATCAGCTTCCCCTTTCTGTCAGAAATTGATGTAGAACATGATTTCTGTGGACTCTTCTAACCACTATGACTGTCTAGAGACTGTCAACAAATTACATTTCAAGCAGCAGAGTCAAAACACAACATGCCAGTATGGAGCCGGTATAAGTGTTAAGGAGAGGTGTCAAAAAACGATATCTTCCAAATGTTGTACACATCATGTCTTTTAGACCTTAGTATAACAAGCAAAAGCTTTATAATGAGTAAGTTGAAATAGCTGGAAAGCAAAACGATTTTTGACATGACTTGATGTGTTATAATTAGAGTGTGTAAATACCTTTTTCTGTTTTGTTTTGTTAGCCGTTCGAGCGGATTCGTGTGGAGATCGTGTCTCTGAGTCTGAAGCCAGACTCCAGGGTCTCAGTGGACTCTAGTGTGGTCAGGCTGTTTGTGGAGTATTGTTTTCTGGACCTGCCCACAGTAGAGACCCCGCTGTCACTGCCCAAACCACTGCCTGGACAAAGCATCTACTACAACTATAGCAATGGTGGGTACACAGAGATGAACTTGTATACCCACAGGCCGGCAGTCCCACACAGCATTTATTACTACAGAAATATTAGGCAGAGATTGTGCAATCTTTGTTGTGTGTAACTTGATTTATGAGATTTCAATGTGACTGTTTTAATGGTAATACACTGTTAATATGGTTTGGCTGTTTTGTCTTTTCTGACAGTGATCCATGTGGATGTGGAGAATAACCAGGCCAGACGCCACACCCTTAGAGCAGTGCTTGAAGGCAGGAACAGAAAGCTAGAGAAGTATTTTCTTTTTTTAAATCTTGTTCGTTTTGGTTTTATCTGTTTCAGTGTTGGTTAAGTAAGACTATTTTCAGCTCAAATGTGGTCTTTGCCTAACAGAGAAGAGTAATTAAAAGGGAACAGGCTTGACCAGTACAGTTGTTCTCATTGTTGATTGGATCAGGGATCACTGCCTGACTGAGTCTCTGATTGTCTGTTTAAGCGTTAAATTCACAGTAGTGAGTGATCCACCTGAGGAAGAGGAGCAGGAAAAGGAGTGTGAGGATGTGGGCGTGGCCTACCTCAGGATCCCTGACATTCTAGAGAAGCAGAGAGACATGATGGATGTTGATCTGAAGAGTAAGTGTGTCTGTTTGTGTATGTGTGAGTTTCAGCTTATAAAGTTGTGGAAATTATATGCATTATGTCAAAATGTTCCCTTTCTCTCTCTCTCTCTCCCTCTCCCTGTATAGTTGTGGATGTGCAGGACAGCAGTGAAGTGGTGGGGAGTCTGAAGGTCACTGTAGAAGCTCTGGAGGCTCTAAGGTCCATCATGGAGGATCCAGACCATGACCACTCTTTCTCTGCTCTCACTTGAGCTCCAGTCCAGCAGCTGCATACACAGAGACTCGTTTACGTCATGTAGCAACAGTCAAGAGAATAGGTCAGGTGAAAACAGTAGGTTTTGTTTACTTCACTGGATCAGGGAGAAGAATCCACTAGCAATTGACAAAAATGAGAAAAATATACTAGGGAGAAAAAAATAGACAGATTCAAAGAAAACTCCCAAAATATTTCCAGCCTCTTGCTGCTCATTTTGCTGTTCTGTGTGATGGTTCCACGCCAAAACTGAAGTGACAACAAAGTGGCAACGTTGTCACACATAAGAATTGTCAACAAATTGTGGGGTCCAAAAATTTGCAAAGAAAAATGCAGGCCTTGGCACAAAATTTGCTTAAATTTGAATAATGATCTAGAAACAGTACATTTTTTGAATATTTCTTGAAAGTTATTGATTCTTGTCATGACTTTTCTTAGTTTTCATTTTTTCAAAATTCTAAAACTTTATTTTATTTCCTGGTTTCAATTAAATCAATCCCAGATTCTCAATGTGGCCTCAGACTTTTTGGACCCCACTGTGTGTTCTTCTCATTTTTTTCAAACACAACTTATAAAATGAATGACATTTATTTACAGTTGTGCAGATGTTTCCATTTTAATCCAGTAAGGGAGGAAAGAAATGTTGTTGTGCTCTGCCTTCTAGCCAAGAAAGAGTGTGTTTTAAATATTCCCCTAAAACAGAAGGAGCGATAATAAAACATGCGTGACTAATATCCTTTCAAGTGAATAACATCAGAAGGCTTTGATTCTTCCCCTTACAGTGGAACCCAGTGTGACATCCTTTAAGATTGGAATATTTCTCTATGGCTGCCTCCCTGGGTGTAAGCCCCTAGTGCTCAGTTTGACGTGGTGATGATGTTTAGTGCTTTAATAACTGTGCTTAATGAAAAGCCTGTTAAGCCTCATTAGCCGCTGTGTGCCACACGGCTGTTTTTATATTGAAGATGTGGAATGGAATCTAACTGAATTTAATGGGATTTAATCCATCTCTTTAAAATGCTAATGCCCATTTTCACGCGCATTGACTCACAGCACACACACTCTCCCTCTGCAGAGCGCAGTGGATTCTTCTGGGCTGCTTTTGGTACTTGACATTTCTAGCCTTTACTGAGGGCTTTTAGGACTATTTACTTAAGACATTTGTACTGTATTTTTATACAGAAATATAGATTCACTTTATATTTGTCATTTTATTTATTCAAAGACATTGACAGCAAATTTTAGCCACTGTTTATAGAATTAGAAACAACAGTATTTATGAATTTATGTGGTATTTAATAGCTGTTTGTACATTGTAGTTTTATTAAAGACATTCTGTGTTGTTTTCTATTGCCACTGACAGTGCATACTCATTTTTCATTATTACCTAAGTTATTAGTGTTGCCACGCAGCTGTATGATCAGAGCGTTTAACTGATTTGGCCCACTGCATGGTAGACCTGTCAGTCTAAATGATGCACAGTCTCTGCGTATTGACTCTGACATGGTTGGTGGATTCTTCGTGTGTTTAGTCTGACCTCATCATTAGCTCTGCTCAGGGGTGGATCAATATTATTGATCTGCTACCCAGCACTGCCACCGAGACTCTCTCTACCCTGCACACATGCAAATGGCCCTGCCACCTGAAAAGAAAGACAGAAAAAAGCAGGCGAGAAGCAGCGTCCCAAGTGGTCTCATTAGGCATTCAGAGTTAAGACGTGGGGCGGGTCATGTTGTCATGTGCAGATGATTGGAGCACAGCCCTTTGACAGCTGTGACAGGCGGGTGGGTGGCCTCGCAGCCCCCTCTTCTCTTTTGGCCCATCTGTCATATTGCGCTGAGCGTTCTTGCCATTGAGGGAGAAGGTACAGGACTAGTCCTCAATTAGGCACGTTAGCTACATGAGGGAAATGTCATTTTCATGACACGGATAACCTCCGAGTCCACCAAGGCCACTTACCACAGGCAGATCCCAAATGAGCCTGAACTGGAACCAGTCACTGAAATGAACCAAGAGCTCTCTGTTTAAATTGACTCACCATACACTTCTCAAACCACACCTCTAGATTCGTTTAACCTGTAACCTCATGTTTCTTCCTTCCATCTCTTCTGTCCTGTCTTAACGGCAGCAGAAACTCAACCTTCAAACTTTGCCTCATGTTTGTCTTGAGGAGGCTGATAAACATGAATAGGCCCAGTGACTGTGCAAGCACTGTTTGAATGGCATTGTCTCATGTCAGGACATTTCTTTAGCCTTTCATGAATTGGTAATGGTCTCATTTAAAGCTTTGACACATGTGCCTAAATGGACAGTACGGGAGTGCTTTGCATGTTTCTGCAGTCGACAGGCCCACTGCGGGCACTGGTGCATGATGTTTGCCTCTCACTTCTGTCTCCCTAATCCGTCACCTCTGACCCTGGGCCTGTATTTAGTGTCTGTGTATGGCGGTTCACGCTGCCTGCCGTGGTTTTGAGTGACTGCTCCTGCGCCGGCCGCTGCGCCTCGCTCGTCTGAGTGTGACTGGCTGAGGCTCGCGCCTGTCTGCCGCTTTCATTACGCTGCTGGAGCCGCTGCCTGTCGGCCCGTACCGCCACACTGCAGGCCTGTCAACCACATGATCAGGGGTGCATGAAGAGATGACCTTCCTCTCTCTCTCTTGCTGCTGTATTGGAATATAGGCAGATTCTCACTCTCGCTTCAGGAGATATGTATTCAGATGAGATGCACTGGGGGAAATGGGGAAAAAGAACTGGTTGCTAGTGCAAAACATGACCTGCCACTCTAGTCATGGTTTAAAGGGGTAGATCTGTGAAAAATCTAATTTACACATTTTACACTTTATCCAAAATGTAGACAATCGGCCAACACGGTTTGTAACTGAAATTTACTGTCTGGGTACTGGAACTATGAGGCTAATGTAGCTGATAAATAAAGGAAGCTTACATATCATCACACACTTGCCTCAAACTGTACATAATCTCAGATAGACTTTTAGCTAACATTTCTAGCTACAACACACTTGTCCATTTTGTGTCAATGTAAGAAACCACGTAAGTGAGTCTATTTGAGATTCCTTCATTGCTTCAACTTCATATGGTTTGGGGGAGTGTGTGATGTTTCAGATCTACTGTTTGTAGGGCTGTGACTAATGAATACTTTTATGGTCTTTAGACCTTTTTTTTGATGTATTAATTGACATATCTAACGATTATGTTCCTGTCTCAGTGAAAAAATAATTTAGATAATAGTAGAAATTTGAAAAGTCATCATCCAGATGACCTGTTTAAATAAAATATATTTCTCAGTTGAATCAAAAATATGATTTAATACAAAACATTTGAAAGAAATTATTTGCTAATTATTTGCTAACTTAATATGACTTTTTTATATTACTTTTCAATTTCTGGTTATTTTTATTTTTCAACCTATCACCTTTCCTTTTTTCTCTTTTCTAGCACATTAATAATTTATTAATGATTTATTTTTGTAACTTCATATGATTCTGTGTGGGATCTGCTAAATGACACCTGATACACCATTGGGTAAAAGATTTTGCATACAATATTATTATGTTTATGGCTGGCCTGGCATGCTTGTGATTTTCTGACTGTATAATTTACAGGTTTTAGGTGTACTGCATGCAATTTGCTTTATACCAAAAGCATCCTAAAACAGATTTAAGTGACTTACCAGCCTAACCACTTCATTATTGTGTTTCTACCCTAGTATGACTTTAATTTTACTACTCTGTACTTGGGGGGGAAATTGTTAAATACATTTTTGCCAAATTGTTGCTTTTAGAGAGGGAAGTAGAAGAACTGAAAGTGAAGATGGAATTAGAAGAACTGAAAGTGACACAATATGAGGACTGAGAATTAACAAATAGGAGTGAAGAGACAGAATAAAAAAAAAATATTTTGGAAAAAACTTGCAGAGCAGTAGAGGGTCCTCACTATGTACTGCATTGCAAAAGCTCTAGCAGAGAGGACACGAACAGCCACCAGGTGGTGTGTGGACATCACTGTTCTCATACTGTGGCTCTGAATGTGGCCCACTCTCTCCACGACTCAGTGATCCTGAGGTGTTAGAGCGGGAGATTTTTCCGTCATAGGGCACAGTGTAATCTCTTAACCTCTTGCCCAGTCAGCTCTCCTCCCCTGTGTGTCAACCCTGTTACCTGCCCTGATTTACCATAATAATTAGCTAAATAGATCACTACCAGGGGCTTTTAGCTCTGCCTGGCCTTTATTTTCAAACTGTCTCTTTGCGTGACAGCTTTGACATTCCTTAGGTTAAGCAACTTGCTCTCAGGTCACGCGCTTCTGACCTTGTGTTTTGCTTGGCTCTGTATTAACAGCACTTTAATGTATGCGTGGCATGTCACTTCCAAAATTACATGCTCACTGTTAAAGTTTCACAGTTTTTAAGCTACTGTACAGGCGCTGGTTAAAAGATTGACTGATGTGGTTCTTTGTAGAATATTTATTTTAGTGGGGAGAGGGGTGGAAGAGGTGTGTGAAAGAGAGAGTGTGTTTATGCCAGCTTGCGCACGTTCACCTTGAAGATTTTTTTCTGACCTTCACTTTGCCCGTGACACACGAGGATGGCCCTTCCCAGAGCAGTGTTTAAGGATATTGATTCTCGCAGACATAAAAATACACTTATTGAGAGGCCCTTAAAAGCATTAGCATCTTCCTGACTGCACTTACACTCCATAATGTCAGGCTGCTAAGTCATTGACTGCTGAGCTAAAAACTGTGAAGCGCTGGCTCTTAATCAATGCTTTTCTCACTCTGAATCATTACTCACACCCTCCTCACCAGCACACTCTCATTCAGCATGTTCTGCTGAAGACAAACTCTTTAACACCCACTAAGATTTTATTCACACCTCTGAGACCCTTATTTGCAAAGAGTTATGGAATCAATAGCCAACAGTTTGCTACACCGAAAAATCATTTAAGCATGTTTCATTTTTTGATTGATTGTTATGTTTATTGTTTTTAATTGTGAATTATTGAGTAGGTCCAAAACCTTTTTCATGCTTTTAATGGATTCCTGTATCCCCTTCAGATTGGAGGGTCATATGTATGTCTGCCAGGTGCAGAGAGACAGAGAGAGAGAGAGAGAAACAGAGAGAGCTTTTTAAAGGTCCCATATTGTACATTTTCGTTATTGTTATTTTTGTAATTTTATTTTTTACTTGAGAAACACTTTTGATGTTATGTCAGTTTAGGTCTGAAAAATAGCCATAATTCATTTTTCTATGACCGTTTCAAACCTTGTTTTATCCTTTAGAACTAAGCAGGCCGTTATTGGTATTATTATGCCGATGTAAATGAGCTCTGTTGTGATTGGCTGTTTTGTGTTGCACTTCATTCAAAAAGCAGTTTCGACTAAAACTCTCCTTATAACTTCTCTCCTGTGAACAAGCAGTCCAGGCTGAAACACTCCTTATAACTTCAGTGTGGATGGGTGGGTTAAATTGCTGTAGGCTGAATAAGTGGATATAAAGTATGTACATGCATTGTTTTTTTGTGACATCACAAAAGCAGTAAATTCAAAACAGATTGTGCAGGTAAATTTTCATTTATGGACTGGAGAGTGAAGGTTTTGAGACTTTAATAATGTTTACATATTATTTGAAACTCATATTATTTGAAAATTATTTAAAAGTGAGGAAAATTCCTTTTTTTTTCCTTCATGATATGGCACTTTAAGTGATGCATTAAACAATAAGAAAGGCCTAGCGTACTGTAAAGCCGTCTGAATCCGTCTCCACAGGACTACAGCAGAATGAATCTTCTCAGCTTCACTTTACTGTAGATACAGGCAAGATAGGGAACCAGACAGATCAATCTTCGTATTAATCATCTGTCCTCCTGACACAGCTCTACAGAGAGAGATGAACTCTGCCCTCTCCACATTTAAATTACCTGCCCATTGTCTCTCAAGCGCTGTAGCTACTGGCAATCATTCTCAAACTCCACCTGGGTTGGTTAACCTGAGAATTACTCTTTCAGTGCTTGGTATGGGAGAGAGTTCTCAGTGTGTGATAAGAATGGGAATGCATTGCATTTTTGCCAACAGATTTGCATTAGTAAATATTTAAAAGTGAATGTAACAGGGCAAAGCTGGTGGCTTGTCAACTAGGCTGTCGCGACAAAAGGCTCGCTCCTATAAAGTGTTCTGCTTTTAGTGCACTCAGTGGAGCACCCAGTTAAGATCCGGTGTTTTGCTGCATCGGTGCTGTGACGTGCCTGTTATCTCTGGGGACTGTTGTGTAGGAAATGAGTGTGGTCAGGTCAGAGAAGTCTGAGTGTAATGAAAGGAAGCTGGTGTATAGGCTGTTAGAGTGGAAGCTTCACTTCAAACTACAATAAGGATGATATTTAACTCTGTCTTTTACATGACTTAGTAGCGGGAATGGACGCTATGGCAAAAATGTAATACTGTGATACTTTTCACAACACATAATACTGTGACATTTTCACAATACATAATATGTATGACAATATTTAGTTTCTCTTGTGGATGTGTAGATATATGGTACTGTGCATAAGTCAGAGACCACCCTTTCATTTATTTAATTTCCAGTTAAACTGGCCATTAAGTACAATTTATTAATTTTTTTGGAGATATTTTCTAGAAGATGAGAAATAAGATAATCCACTTGCATAGGAAAGGCAAAAGTCAAAGGAAAATAAGTGAAAACAACAGTTTCCAAAACTGGATTCCAAAAAATGATCAAATATACAGAAAAGATGGGACTCCTAACAACCGTGCAATACTTGGTAGCCCACCAAAATGGTCACCATTGGATAAACAGTGCTTAAAGCTTTCATCTTTGAGAGAGAGGAGAAAATCAAGCTTCACTCTTGCTTCTGAAAAAATCCACGTTTCTATACATCTGTCCACTGTGAGAAACCATCTCGACACCATGGGTCTGAAATGATGTGCAGCTGTCAAGAAGCTGTTACTAAGAAAAGACAATAGACAAAAAAGAAGCTGCTGGTGTTCTCAGAACAATGGACTGACCATACCAGAGTCCAGACCTCAGCATCATTGCATGTGTTTGGGATTATTTGGATTGTGAGAAAATGCAACCAACATCTAAGACTGAACTTTGGAAGTGTGGAAAAACATCCCTGCAGATTTCTTTGAAAAACCAAAAGGAAGTCTCCTGAAAGGAATGAAAGCTGTACGTACATTGATTTATTCAGTGTACTAGAGCACAGGGGT